ACATACACAAGCTGAGCAAGAGGGAAATATTCATGCACTGACAATTCTATGAAGAGGAAAAATCCCCTTTTGAACAGCTGTTGGTTACTATAAAACATTAGATAAATGGTAACGTAACCGGGATCCTATGATTTCAGTGCTGATTACATAATATTGGTGCCCTGTAAATACTGGATCTCTGAGAAAATCTTTTTGCAGCAGCAGGTTTTTTAAGCAGGTGTTGGAACACCACCAGAGGAATGGAGATTAACAGAGGGATGACTTCATTAAGCAAGAGGGGAGATCCCAAAGAAAAGCACTGAGAAAAAGAGATTCTGGAGATTCTAGAGATACTAGAGATCGAGAGAGAGAGAGAGAGAGAGGGCAGGAAGTTTGAATATGACCATACAAATGTCTGCATCAGAGCTAATAGATTATTGCGATCTTAGACTTTTGACTCCATCTGATTCTGTCTTGATGAGAGGGTGAGAAAGTTTGGGTGGAAGTAAGCTTCATAGTAACTAGACACCACCACTGTTCCTCTCCTGCCTTGCCATGTCTCTTTTCTGTGTGGTTGTGTGTGTGTGTGTGTGTGTGTGTGTGTATGTGTGTGTGTGTGTGTGTATGTGTGTGTGTGTGTGTGTATGTGTGTGTGTGTGTGTGTATGTGTGTGTGTGTGTGTGTGCGTGTGTGTGTGTGTGTTTGTGTGTGTGTGTTTGCCAGACAGCAGCTGATGGCCAGTCATTTCTGCTCTTGGTGACATTATGGCAACACCAGCATCATACATCATGACTGTCTGTACGCTGTAAATGTTAAATTATGTATAACTGCATATGCATACGTGCACAGACAAAAACTCTGTAACTGATGTAACTGCACCACAGAATCTCATATTTCTGACACCACAGCTAACCACTGTTGAAAGTTCTTTGCTTTGCTTTTGACTGTCTGTCTTGCTCTCCTGTTCCTCTCTATTTACTTTATTCCTAAACATTACAAATAACTGTCACATTATATTACATTTCAGGAGTTTAGCAAACATCCTCATTCTGTAGAAAGTGGCCAACATTAGAGGCACTAATTTCCAGAAACAAAGATGAAACAAGGCTTTTATTGTGCCTGTCTCTGGCATGGCCTTCTAATATCGAATAGCAAGAGTTCTTTAAGCATTTTAAGTGGCTTGGCTTGGCCACAACATAACAAAACTGTTTTACACGCGAGGGACAAAGTCACATTTGGACTTTCAACACATGCAGCACTGACCGAGATGAGGTCAGTGTCTCAGCGAAACCCTCCTCTGCTCAAAAATCAAGACACAACTTGTCAGCAGTGTCCACTTCATTTGCAAGAATTTGGCTGATATTTCAGACCATTACTAATAGTGTACAAGGGAATACTCAGAATAGACACACAGAGGAATTGACGCTTCAACAGCAGCTGTCAAAGGCCTCCAGATAAATGCTCTTGTTATTCCTTGAGAGACAGGCATCTGCTTTACTCTGTAAAGGTGGTGCTTTATCTGTGCAGTGCTTGCCCTGCTGTAGGCTCCCAGCTGTACACGTACTGTGCATTTGTCCAAACTTTCAAACGTCTGCGTGGTACTTGTCATTTTTGCATGTTGTGATGCAGTTAAGAATTCCCTCCATTTGGTTTGTTGTTGTGGACGCTGTTTTTGTGTGTTTTTTTTTTTTGTGCTATTTTGACAATGTTTTATGTCTGGCTAACAGTTGCAGCCAGTGAACTACAAAAGCAGAGAGGAAGTGATAAACAATTAACAGGAGTCATTTATTTTATTATTTCAAACAAAGTGTAGGATAATTGAGCGTTTGCTAAACCCCTATACCGGACTTTGATTGTCCATTTATAGCTTAGCAACTGTAACTAGGCACAACAGGCCTGTAGAACTTTTGATGTCTCCACATGATGAAACCGCATGGAGCTGTAAAGATTTCAGACATTGGTATCTTTTTCTTGGTTTTGCAAAACCAACCCACGAAAGGAAAAGTGCAAAGAATCAATGATACCGTGTTTTTATCTACTCTAAGGTAAGCTGCAAGTATTAGCATGTCTGGCTAACTGACTGACATTAGTAACCTTAGACAGCAATATATCCAAGGCAAAGGAGGATTTCATACTACATTATTTTGTGGGGTTACAGTTTATGTTATAAAGCCCTGTTTAATGTAGTGCATCCCATGTGTAGTAGTTACCAATTATATCAAAGCAAGTGGATGCTACTATCAGCATACAGGATAACATAAGCCACTCTGCCCTGCTCTTGATTAGGTTTACAGACATACTGATGCAACATCAGCCAAACTCATTATCAAAGACTGTATGTTTTGTACATAGATTATCAAATAATGAGGATGCACAATTTTTGCCTGGGGCATACAGCTTTAGCCTTAGTCTTTATCACAATATGATATATGTAGCCTTCAAGTGCATATTTGAGAACCATTTACAGGGTTCTTGCTTTAAAATGGGTCAGGTCAAAATATTAAAAAAGTCAGCAAAAGTCAATTGTTAGGCCGGTTCTTGTCCACCTCTGTCTGAAATCAATATCCCATTGTTTCAAAAATTACAAAGAATTTTGAGTAGCAAATCTGCCAAAGTTATCGTTGTAAACTGCAAATGGGCTGTGCCAGAAAGCCTGACAGGCGTAGCGACAGTAACTAAAGGGGGGCAGGGGTTAGTTTTTTCCTATCCATGTATTCCACAGGAATTTTGGACAATACCAAACTGTGGGAAGGCCTCTCACAACATCAGACTTAGCTTGTCTGTTACAATCGGTGGCCAAAGAAGTAACCCATTACATTGGTGACCTCCTCTTTTGCAGGAGGTATGTAGGCCCAAGAGATCCTGTTTGCGTGATATCTTAGAAATTATTACTCAAACTGCACTTGCAGAAAATGCACTCAGGGGAAGTAATACCTCAGCAACAGCTGTTGTAGGAATGACACACAGCATTTCCATTGGTCAACGTACTGATATATGACGGGTATTTAAAAAGTTCCATGGCCAATAACCTGTTGAAAATGTCATACAACATTTTACACATTCTGTATATCCCCAAAAATGGTCAACCAACAATTCATGTCTTTTATACTGTTGTGTAAATATTGTTCCGTGCCCTATACATGCACATCTGGCTTGATACATTTTCATGAAACCTTATCATCATCAGCTAAATCTTAAATTACCCCCTCATTAAAACAAATGTTATCCCAAGAGTGTCTTTCACTGATTTTTTTTCTGGCCAGCATTTTACCATTCATGATAATGTCCAGAGTAGCACAGACAAGGGAGGGACATTCCCCTGTGTGTGTCTCTATGTAGTGTGTTCATACATGTTCTGACTGTCAGTGGGCGCACCACTCCCTATGATGTCCGCAGCATCGGACCATGTTGACTGATCTTTGATCCTCTGCCCTGGCCTTGTGTGTCAGGGGTATAGACACTGACCGAACCAACTGAGCTGAGCCAAGATCCCATGGAACCACACCCTGAAACCACAGAATCATTAGTGGGCCTCGCTCCCACTCTTGCTCTGTCTGGTATTGTCATTCATCATAGGAAATGTGTTAGTGCCACTCTAAGTGACGGCAGTGGCATTATACAACATCGAGAAAAGCCCTCTTGGCCACAGCAACCTGGAAGGGAACCTCAACCTTTAACATTTCCTACTTTGGTTCCCAACTGCAAATTATTCTTGAGCTTGTTTGTGGTGCAACCTTGTGGGACAATGTTTTCTGATAATCACCAGAGTTTGGAAATGAACCAACATGTCCTACCAAATAAACTTGCAGTGCATTGTACACAGCAGTGTTTCTTAAACTACACATCTAGAACTAAAAGGTCCTTGGTGGGTTTTGATAGGGCCAGGGAACTAGCATTTTGTTATGAGCTTGGGTCCCACAGTGATGCTACATGTGAAAAGATTTACAAGTCCTTGGCCTGCTGTATTGAACAAACACAGAAGCTAACTCTTCCTGACATTTGGTGAGGTATCATTCTGAAGTGGATGAAGACACGAACAGAATATCCAGTGGAACTTCCCTTGTCTTCCCCGTGTCTCACACGCATGTTTTGGCCAAAAGTTATTTTTCATTACAAGAGAGGAAAATGTCGTCATGGTGGAACAGGTGCTTTACAGGGCTGGGAAAGGGTGGAGAATATAGTCAGTGGTTCCTGACACCCTTCATTCACTTTATTATGAGGAGATAGTGTGGGAAGTTTGGAAGAGTTGACTCAACCAATAAACAGCTCTTTTTGACACTGCATGCAGAACAGATGTGTAGGTGTTGTAGACCAATAACACATGGCAGTCAAGAGGAGTGAGGGTAAAGGAAGGTGAAAGGGACAGAAGTCAGGAAGACAAAAACTACACCCGAAGTGGTGATGTACAAGAAAAAGAAAAAAAAAGAGACAGGGACAAAGATATTAGGTCAAAATAGGGAGAGTACTAAAAATGTTGTCCACAATATAATCTCTTCACTAGCATGTTGAGCTTGTGTAACTACATCAACCGATTTGGCTGATGGCCCCTAAACCTGATCATCTGTCTCCTCAAGTTCCCAACATGAACATGCATGTACAGAATGTTGAGCTGTGACAGCCAACAATGTTTTTGGCTATCACATAGCCTACAGGACACTTTATGGCCCTTCCAGGGAAAGTCAATTGAACAACTGAATAACTGACATATCCTGAAGTCTAGAAGTCTAGAAGGACCAAATATTCTTTTTCCATCCAAAAGTATGTATCAGGAAAATATGAGGAAATGTCTGCACACTTCAAATAGTTTTTAATGATGTCCAGATTGAGAGCCAGCTAAAAAGAGTGTCGATATATTTATGAGGTCATTCATAAACGTTTGAAGCCACAAATTATCATTGTGATTTGTGATTTCATGAAAAAACCAAATAACTTTAGTTATGTGAACTGCATTCACAGCACCAACCGTTACTACTAATACTAGCATACACGACAATGACATATGAAAGAGCATTGGTTCTGACCTGGCAGGACATGGTTGGGTGTTGCAGGGCATCAATCCAGTAGCTGGTCTTGATCTGGGATTGCAGTAGGATGTGTTCACCTGCACTCTCAAGTCTTTGTAGCATGCTGACTTCGTATTCATCTGGCCTGTGTGGGATAAATATCAATACGTTCAGGCACATTATCATAAATGGAGAATATCATTTTTATTTTGAGTTACAGTCTATTCCTAACTGCCAATTGGCTACTATAAAATATCACTAGTAAAACAAAACTACAGGCTCACATTTACTGTGCTGGATTAAATAGTTATGAAGAGACATTATAGATTTATTGGCATAAATGTAAAAAAACAGCAATTTTACTGATCTTGAAGGTTCATTCTTGACTTTGGAAACAGCAGCTTCACAAAACATAATTTGGAAATTGTCCAACTACAACAAAACAGCATTGTTGTGTGTTAGTGTGTCAAGCTGCTTGTCAAGATGCTATCAAAAGGTTTGCAAATAATATTCCTGCATTGTGTGAACATGTGACACCTGTTTATAACGTGAAAGCAATATGATACTGGTTTCACACTGACATACTTTCTAGGTGATAGTATGCATTGTATGTTGATGAATATTTAACTGTGCATGCTTTTTCACTACACTTCCCTTTGTACATGTGATGTGCAGAGAATATATTTTGTCTCTGTAAGCCATAAAAACATTTGTTGAAAAGTTTTAGGTTCCTCAATTTAAGTTATCATTTACTTTGTCAGAGGCTACCAATCCTCTTTGAATTCTGACTTTTGTGTTTGTGAATTCTGACACAAAAGCAGAGCTGACTGTGTTTTTAATTTATTTGAAACATGAATCCCACAGATCTCCTGGTTGGTATTTGGCTTAAGGCAAGGTCAATCTGCACATCTCAGCTCATACAGGTCAGTTAGTCAGTCACACTCTTTAATAAAGCAAATGACCCCCAACCCATCACGACCTACAATCAAGGCACAAAGAGGTAGAGGTGGTTAGGGTGGACCGCAACAGACCAGGGTGGGGAACTTTAACCTGGGGGGGGTCAATCAACAGGAACTCTACACTGGGGGCTTTGTTCTCATTCATGAAGCCAAGCAAGTGCACACACACAAACACACACACACATATACAAGCACTCACAAAGGGAAGTGTGTATGAGTAAACACTCATGAGCACTCACACGGAAACACACACACACATAGACACACACACACACAGACACACACACGCACACACACACACACACACACACACACACACCTTTATCTCCTGACCTCTGCCCGCAAATCACCATGCCAAGGACTGCTCATGTCATTACAGCTGTCTTTGCATGCGTTTCTGTGCGTGTGTGTGTCTGTGTGTGTGTGTGTGTGTGCTAGTTTAATACTAGGCCTCTGGTGGGACGAATGCCATCGGTCAAAGCCGTGCATGTGTGTGCTTGCTTGCTTTAAGGCTATCTATGTGGTGTGGTTGTGTGTGTGTGTGTATATGCATGTAATAGCAGGTCTCCAGTAGAATAAGAAGAGGTCCCACCAGTCCGAAACAAGAACTACTAATGTCCCCTCACTAATGATGGGATTACTCCCCTCTCCATTTAACCTGAAGCTAAAAGCCTTATTATAGATCAGAGAGGCCAGACTGAGCTGTGGATGCTTGTCCATTGATCTACAAACTGTCCTCTTAATCTCTGGGCTGCTCCAGATTACTTGAAAAGAGGTGATTTGTCCTTTTTCATCAATGCAATAGACTCAGACTAGGTTCAAAAACACAAACAAGTAGTGTCTGTTTTGAACAAATACAGTAACATGTCACTGCACAAGATCTGCTTTGACAGGGAAGATGAAATGCACTATACTTCATTTAGAATATATCTATCATTGTAGTTTGGAAAAGCACATTTTGATCTAATTTGCAGCACAAGTGTAATATGATAATGCTACTGAAAAATACCTTTTGGCAGTCATGTTTGTACATACCTCCAGCACAAGTTGCTGAGCACTGGGAGCGTATGATGGCCCATGTATAATTGTGTTTGATGTGATTCTTCTTCTCATCAGATTTCTTCAGAGTATATTCCCAACGTACTCCTGGGTTCCAGCCCTGCAACAATATCTACAGGACAAAGAATATGGTAAGAATGATGAAATGAAAGACTGCACAAAAGAAGTAAAAATGTATGCAGGCCCATAACTAAGATGTAAAGAAGAAAGTCATAATCAAAAGAAGGGTGGGAGGTCTTATAGAGTATATTAAAAATTTACCAAATTGCACGTAAGTAAGGTTCCACTGATCCCTTACCTCTATGATCAGTGTGTCATTGGTGGGGCCAGTCGATAAGAGGCTCTCTGGTCTGTTATAGGGTCTCTTGTATTCAAAAATGGCTCCAGCGATGGGGTGTCGGCCTGGCCAGTCCACTGTCCAATGTCCGTTCAAGTAGTAGCGTCTCTGTGTGTCCCTGACAGCCAGGTATGAGCTTGATGTATTCAACTCCATCACACGGATACTCCGAGCCCCTGCTGGGATGGTTACCACCCCATAGTACTCTGAGAAAGACAAGAAAACATTTTAAACAAACACCAAAAGCTGTAAAAAACTAACACAAGTAAAAAAAAACAACTGCATTTCAATTACATGGATTATGACAACAAAACACACAAAACAGTCTTGTGTATAAGCTACTGATAAAGGGTAGGAAAAACAGTTTCAGTATCTGGTATATGAAGTGTGAACTCAACAATTTAATTCATTATGACATACGGTTAGTATAATGCTGCTTGGTGTACTGTCCTTTGTAGATCTTGCAGGTGGAGTTGTTTCCTTTACACACCCCACAAGCATCAGGCACAGCTGTGGAGCCCAACACGCGGTCACAGCCCACTCTCTGTGGGAGAAAAACATCATTGCTTTTGACAAAAAATAGATTATGAACATAAAATGCAACTTTACATCATACAATGTAATAAATTACAACAGTTGAAAGCTACCATCACTCATCCCTGTTGTGATGACAGGTCGACATTTTCCTTTTCATTACATCTGAAGTACTTGTGAAATAGCACAACAAGGGTGTCTATTGATGTTCTCCACTGCTAAACCTGTTCTCAAAATTTATAGCTCAGCCTCAGAGATCCCACACATGATATCATCTTCAAAAAACTCTGCACGCTTTCTCACTCTTCAACACAACCATGTTACTGTCTCACTGCTTGCCTGTTTTAAAGTATTACCTCACACAGTCCATCAATACAGACGTTGGAGCTGTCCTGTGAGCAGAGAGTCCCATCCTTAACTTTACTGGCCAAGGCAAAGAAGAAATCATAACCTTCAGCAAAGCAGTACAGCTTACATACATCTTGATCTGGAAGAAAAGAAAATAACCAGAGGGGCCAGAGGCAACAAGCAAATTCTTTAGTACCATGACATACCATAGTTGGTGAAAACTCCCCACAAACTTTCTCTTTTGTCATTTCACATCTTTTTTCCTAAGTAATTTTGAAAATGATTTCAGCCATTGTCTCACCATCCACTCTAGTGTATGGTCTCCAGGTGTAGTACCATCCTCTGAACTGTTTGCTGTTGAATTCGGCACACTGTTGCGCTCTGTAGTCGATGGCGTTGGGGGGACAATCCTCAGTGTTACAAAGCTTGTACGACCTGGAGGAGCCCTCACAGAACTTCCCTCCATATGCAGGTCTGCAGAGAGGAACACACGTGTCATGAAAATTAAGCTTTTCATTTGTCCTTGTTTATTTCAATATTCAGCGTTTCACTGTAGAATTCTTTACTTTGTAATATTCTGATTTCCTCTCAGATGTATGTGATCTACAGAGTGAGTGAGTCTTATATATGTGAATATCCTTCCGTCAATGTATGTGGCTGTGTGTGGGTGTGTCTTTTTGAAAGCTTCTCCAATCACAGGTGTATAACTCGAGGCTATGTTCCTTTAAATCCCCTTCCATGGGACAATTACACCCTCTATAAGCCCTCCAATCACATTGTCACTTATATCTCTCTCGCTCACAGATTCTCTCCCTTTATATCTTTACATTTCATCTTTCGCTTTTTTTAATCCCTTCTCTGTCATCTCTTCTACCGTCTATCCCTCCCCCCTTTCTCTCTCTCTCCTCTGCCTCTTTCCTCTTGCCTGTCTTTGTCTTCCTTTCCCTCCACCACCATCCTTCCTCCCCCATCTCTTGGTCTTTCTCCACATCACTCTCTGTTTAATTTAGTCCACCACTTGTCAGGATCTTGGCATGACATGATAAAGAGGAGGCCCCAGCATTTAGGACAGGGCCCCCCGACTGACTGGAAGTGCAAATAATCCTGAGTGACTGATGAGTAAGGGACTAAGTGAGCAGATAAGTGATGAAGCGACAAACCCATGTGAGGGATCTTCACTATTTTAATCACGTGTCTTAATATACTCGTGGCCTTGAATCGAGCAATCACAAACGGTACAGACCATCTCTGTACCAAAACGTCTCTCCATTAATCCTCTGTGTATACAGTTGTGTATGTGTATACATTTTTCCCTGTTTGCATACATGCTAGTTATGGCAATTCCTGCATATTTTAATGTACAACTGTGAGCTTACATTTACCTGGTAAACCAACACTTGTCATATTGCTACAGCTATTTTAACACAAGTTAGGAGAACCTAATAGAATGGATCTTGCAAACTAGGAAATGGTATATTTATAAAGATTATTTGCTATGTGGTTTTTGCTTGGGTAGGCAAAAACGTAAATGGTCAGTTTTTGGGGTGGGTTTCACTGTTATATTTTGATGGCTTAATTTGAAAATGTTTTGATCGTTTAAAATGCTACCACCTCACAAGCTCACTAATTTACATGCTGCATCCAATCTATTTAATCCATATACACAAACAGAAATTTGATGAATTTTAATCGGAGCTCAACACTGTAACTATTTCTTAGCAAACAAGCGACAAGATTATAAGATGTTACTGCGCTAAGAAAAAGGCAGTGGTGGGGAAGCTACTTTGAAAACATAGCTTTGCAAGCTACCAATTACTTCACCCTGGAAGACGTTAAACTACAGCAAAGGGGACAATCTAGTTTGGTCAACTAAATCAAACTGACAATGTACATGTGATACGGAATTATAACAAAATACAAGTCTCATGCCAGCTTATTGCCAAAAGTGCCAACTTGTTCACAGGTTATACAACCACAAAATAAAATACCCCACTATTCATGTGAAAGTGTAATGAATGTCAGCTTTGGTTTTGTAAACAATAACTGCTTAAGTTTGGCCATGACGATTGTTCCTCAGGCTGAGATTCAGGAGGTTTATCCATGATGACCTTGTAGCTGTGTGAGCACTGAGCAGCGCCTGCCCGTGGCTTTTGTACATGCACTACACAAAGGTCAAGTGTGTGGTGGTGGCTGTCTGACGAATGCATTGCCTGAGCATGCCTCCTGGCTCCCTTTCCATACTTAACACACTGACATGACAGTGGTATTGATCTTCTTATGAAAGCAAAATGTTCCCCTAACTGTAGAACATTTTATTCTGTCCTCATCTTTGCTAAAAATGCACTGTTGTACCAGTTTGTTAGGGCCTGTTCATTGAGTATTTCTCTACCTGGGGTTGTTGCATTGCCTCTCTCGATAGGTGACTCCACTCTCGCAGCTTCGCGAGCAGGCAGACCAGGATGACCACTCTGACCATTGGCCATGCTGAGGCCTCGGGCCCTCATCACCCTGTTTTACACACTGGCCCCTACGACACCACTGGAGAAGACGAGAGAGAGAGAGAGGAATTATGAGTGGGATAGAGGGAGGCTGAAGAAGGGAGGCATACACAAACAAAGAGCAAAATGTTTTAAATTGTCTATGACATACAGACTTTCCAATGGACCCTGCCCTTTATCTTCTTTATGATCACTGTCTGTCAAACCATAGCAGAGGCCTGTAAGAAGCAGCTTTCAGCTTTAACTGCTGTCAAAAAGGTCATGGTACAGACTTGGTTATGTACTCATAATCTCTCAGTGAAACTCCAGTTGTGCTGCTTTTTGGACAGTCCCTACCTTGAGCTGTCATCAGCTAGAATTAAAAGAGGTAAGTCAAACACAACTGAAATATGGAAAAAACTGTCTCATACCTGACAAGGATATTCTCCTAAAATAATACACATACCATTGTCCTTCACTGTCATATTTGCATTTTGTGTTGTTTTCCCTACACTGTATTTAACTTTTGCTTTTCACCTCATTCCAATTTTTCTTCTTTTTAAAAGCAGTAAAAGCAAAAATGTAACTACAAAAACATGAAACAGGTTGAAATACAGTACTGTTGCCAACAATGCACAAATCAACATAGTAATGTTTCTTCACTGCTGAAAAACATTCTTTTCAACAATTTTAGTTTTGAAACAAAAGAATAAATATCTGCCAAGGGACTGAGATAATTTAACTTCTTTCCAGTGCAAATCAACTATAAGGGTGTGGTATCTGCCTTTTTGTGACTTGTTTATTAGTATTTATATCTGGTTTCAACATAGTTTTTGAAAGAAGTGAACCAGGTCAGGCAGATTTTTAACGATCAATGAACAATTTCTCTCATAATCTGGTCACTAGTAACTTGACCCTACTGGTGGCTTGGAAAATACACAGGGGGCCACCCTGACCAAGCGGTGTTCCACCCATGAACACTGCCAAGTGTGTTCCATGAGGTAACCAGGCAAAGCAGAAGAGGAATATCAAACTATATGGAAAGTTATGTGAATAAAGATTGTCAGTACAGTACTGCATGAATAGTGGAGGAGCTACAGGAGATGCTTCATACTACTGACTCAAGTTATTTACTGTATGTACTTCAAAAAGGCTGAGTCATTAACCAACAACCTATCACGTGTTACAAAATGAGCAGAACTTTACTGAAAGTCCCTTAATGTAACATGAGAAGACTTTGCAAAATCTAAACTCTCTTAAAGCAACATTATGTCACAAGCTGTTTCCTGGCACACCACTGAACTGGATTTGTACATGTCAAGATGACATCAGTCACAATATACTCAACTGCTCGCCCTGGAGTGATCTCAGGAACCTTCTCAAGCACGTGCGTGCGCACACACGCACGCACACACGTGCATGAGTAATGATAGCGGGCATATGTTCGGCTGTTCTTGTTCTCACTGTGTGTTCATGCCTGCACACGAGCCCACCGACACATACACTAGCACACACACATGCACACACCCCTCCAACTAATCTCGTGGTCCTTGACTACGAGGTAGAACAGCTGATTTCCCCTCAGTTTTCCCCCTGCGGCTGAGTGCCACAGATTCCTAAGTGAGCCTGTCATTGTTTGTGTTCAGTTAATTGTCCCGTGGAGAGAGAGGGCGGGATTAAACCATCAAGTTCAATATATTGAGAACCAAATGTCGACGAGGGGCTGTCAGGGGAGAGAGGGTAAGAGAGAGTGCGAGCCTTGGGGGAGAATCATCTTGAAAGAAGGAAAAAAAACAAAGAATAAATAAAGAGCACAGATTGCTTTTTGGCCCCAACCCCAATGGCATATTTTTGCCACGTCAGCAACAAACCAATTGCAGCTGCTCCCTGAGGTAAAATAATGGAGGAAGACTGTGGTACCTCTATCAAGAAGAGAGATTTTATTGATGCTGCACTCAAATGAACTCAAATCAAAAACACAGTAAATCCGATTCAAACTCTTAACCTAGCTTACAAGTGCATTTATTAGTCTGCGCTGGCTGCTGGGACACAATGACATTGGCGCGTAAAACAACGCTGTTAAAAGACGTGCCGTGTAACACAGTTCAAGGCCTTTTGTCTTGAAATGGCAAAACTGAGTGGAGGTATCAGCACTTTATACCACTAAACCACTCAATAAATGTTACTTTCATAACAGTATCTACATCTATTTAGCCGGTTCACCTTATAAAATACTATCACGCTTTGTACCATTTACTCACTTAGAGTGAATCCCTTGGCGGTTTCCCTTGGAAGAGGAATGTATGTGTGTGTCTGTGTGTGAAACATCTCTTTACAAGCTCTACCCCCTCTTATACTAAATGTCACATAGTTGATAATACTAAGCAGCACACTTAAAAAAAAAATCAAGTAGTCCAAGTGATGCAAAATCCATTGTGAAAACTGAATTCACATATTTCACTATTTCAGTCTGCACTTTCAAACTTTTTGTTAGAGTTGTGTGTGAGTGTTGAGGACATTTTCTCACCAAAACTGCTGAGATATGTTTGTGACAGGCTCTTGTTTGGTACATTTCATTTGTGGATGTATTTGGTAAGACGTTGCCATGGAGCATGTATTAGCTACAGTCAAACTTAAAGAAAAAAAAACCCCACGTTGTGCTCTTTTGACAAAACAAGGCAAGGTTTTCAAGGCGTATCAAATGTAAGATCATTTTGCCTCCTTCGGCTAAAATGGAACAAAGGTTATCTTAGGGATGGTATGATCAAAGGGTAACTCTACCTCCTGAATAGGTGGTGAATTTAGAAAAAAAAAAAGATTAATGACATCCTGAAGTAAGAAGTACCTAGCTGCATGTACCTGCTAGTTGTTGGAAACATCATTGGTATTACCACTTGAATTGTCTCAAAGTTGATAAAAAAAAAAAGTCTTATAGAAGTGAATGGAGTCTCATGCCAGTCATGTGGTGCCACTTTTGAGGTCACAAATCCTGTGAGTGTATCACCAACCCTCATTTAAACCACACACACACACACACACACACACACACACACACACACACACACACACACACACACACACGCGCACACATGCACACACGCACACACACACAAACAGAGACAAAGAACACAAAGAAAAAACCCGTGTTAAGTCACCATATCAGGGCCACAGGCAGAGCCTTCTGCAGCTGGCATGAATTTGGTCTCACACTTCCTCCCAACACGGTGGCACCACAGAGCCTTGCAGATATCCTGGAACAACATGAGAGAAAGGATAAGTCACATGGCACTGCTAACATGTTTTCTTGCTCCAAATTTCAGAAGTGGGATGATCAGTACCCTTCCCAAAACATCTGTAAACAAAGCTAGCAATGGGAAGAACAATAAATTATGATAACATTGTTATTTTGCCTCTCGAGAGCTATTAAAACATGTTGATGGAAAGTTGGGGACTAGGGATTGTGTGAATAATGATCTTCTGGCAAGCCATCAGTGTGCAGCAACCTTGTATCTCCAAAATATTTATGCTTCAGTAGCTAGGATAACAACATTTTAGAAAAGAAAAGAAAGAAGAAAATATATGAAATATGGTCCAACTGTTGCAAGGCATTATTCCACAGACAATGCATTGCATCAGTGATACAAAAACATGCACGTCCATCGTTTTCTGTTGCAGAATGACAAAACAATTGAATGAAAAAAGCTGCAATCAGTATTTTTATATTAAAAAAAAGAAATAGTCCCATGCATTAACATGCAATAACAATGAACAACTGCCTTACTAAACTTACATGATGTCATGGCTGTGTTTCTCAGCAGTAGTCTAAAAGATTCAGATGGGAATACCGGGTGGTTTCCCTGCTCTCATTGCCTGAGAAACATGGCCTGCTACATTTTAACATCAGTTCTATTACTATCTGAATGACTTTATCAGATTTTGACAACTCAGTGCAGATGCTGACAGGCACCTCGGCCTCAGCTTGTAGCTGCAAAGAGCCACCATGGAATTCATCCCATGGCCCATTTGTCCGGCTGTTTTGCTTGCTCAGGCCTTTTGTTGCAGTAAAAATGGTAGAGAGCGAGCAAACGATGGAAGGAGTAGACAGGGAGAGACAGGGAGAGGTGATGGACAGAGTGAGACAGAAACTGAGTTAAAGGGAGAAAGAGAGAAAAACACACATACGTACATATTATTTTGCTTTTTGCTAGGGTAACCCAGCTCTATCTGACCACAAACACCATGGAGAGTATCTTTTGGCTACTCCAGTGGTACTTTATCTTGACAACGCCTGCCAAAAAGTTTTATGAAATATGATTTCATTACACAATGAATTGCACCGCAGAGGCTGATACTTGAGTGTTTTTTATGAGTAACAAGTGTCTGGAAAGACAGTGAGCATGAGGGCTGCTTGGGGATTTTTGGGTCCTGCGCACCTTGCTGCTACCAGGTGCATGAACAGAGACAGTTTAAGACCAAAAACAAAACCATGAGGGAGCCATTCTTAAATATCCTATAGCTGAAACAACGCATTAATGTTTCAATGTTTAGGTGGCTAGGTTAAGGAGGATAGCATGTGTCAGTATCATGGGTTCAAATCCAGTTGATAATCTCTGTGACATTTTATACCCTCTTTCCCAACTAGAAACCAGGCTTATATGTTTCGCAACAATGTTATCATATTCCACCATGGTGTTCAATAGAATAGAAACCTCAAAAGTAAGCTCGTAAATATATATATATATATACTGTATATATAAAAATTTGTCTGTCATTTCATACGAGTTATTGAAATTTTTATAATAACTGCCCACTTGCTAAAGTCTCATTTTCTATCTTCCTGGAGGTAAGGATATTGGCCAATTTTTTTTAGAGTTTACTGACATAATCCATGTATGCACACTCCCTGCAGGGCCGGACTCACCCGAAAGGGGTCCTAGTGTAAAAATGGGCTGTGGCCCCCTGTTAACCCCACCACACTCACCTTCGTACCCCAACTTTGTTTGATTATAAGTTGATTAAATGACAGTGTATTTGAGAATAAGCTATGTGAGTGCTGAATAATAACTGAAACATTCAAGGCATTAAACATATACTTGGACATAGAACCCCTGGACCAACACAGCATTGCAAATTTTGTTTATATTAACCAATTATCTAAATTAAATTATGACAAATTATTTGCTGTGCAGTGAATTGGGTCTGTGGAGATGCCCACTTTATCCAGTTGGCAATCTAGCCAGTGATTTTCTGAATGTGTTATATTTTTCATACAAAAGAGCTCTTTGCCAGAACAGCCCCAGAAGAAATCAAATGTCCCATATATATATGACCATATATCCATATCCATATCATAGTATAAATATTCAATGACTCCTTTTTTTGGAGGGAAGGGTGCCTCTTTGATTCAGGTGAGATTTAGGTAGGGTACCATGTTTGGACCCACGACCTCTTATCCAAATGCTAGAACACCAGTAACTTAAAACACCTTAGGAGTGTCATAAAACAATGAAGTAAACTAAATCCTATCTGGACTGAGGCAGGGTATCTCAAACAGCAACATCAGCAGTAATGAGAAAATGAGAAGAGTGACAAGGAGAGATTCCCATTGGCAATTCTCCAGTGTATATTTAGTCATCCATCCCTGTGAGTATTTCATGGGCAGCATTATAACTCTCACAGTTTGTTTTATGTGCGTGCGTGTGAGAGAGCAAGTATACATCCACGCATGTGTGTGTGTGTGTGTGTGTGTGTGTGTGTGTGTGTGCGTGTGTGCACATGAGGGCATGCAACCCTAAGCAGTTTCTCTTTTCCTTCCTCTTTCCTTTATTCTTTTTTCCTCTACCTCATTTTCCCCATCCCTTTCTCGATTTCTTTCTCTGTTTTTCCTAGGAAATAATTGCCATCAGATTTTTTTTTTTAAACTAATTAAGCACTCAGGTTCCATTGGGTGTGCTGAGAAAACCCCTCAGAGAATCATGGCACAGGATTTTTAACTCATTTTTAAGTCTGCATGGGTTGGCATTATTGAGTCAAAATCAATTTTACCTTCTTAAAATCGAGGGTGCAGAGTTTGGCCTTCTCCCCAAACTGCCATTTGCACTGTGTATCTGCATCGTACAGCTCGCCAGGCAGCTTCTCAGGGTATGGATACTCCTTGACTGCTCTGGGTTCATCTGATAGGCACAGAGCCTGGGCAGAACTAGAGGAGAAGAAGGGTAATAAAAAAGGGAAAAGGACCCAAGATGAGAAAGGATGAAGGAGTGAGGATGGCAACATAAAGAGGGGAATGGTGGTGAAAAGGTCAGGGAAGGAGAGGGGAAGAGTATGGGGTAAGAATAATTATTAATATTAAAACAAGTTCGAACAAGCAGACATGAACAGACAAACAGACATGTGATAAAGTGTTATGCTTCATTAAGCTGGTAAATAAGGCTCCCTAATGTGCCCACAGAAAATCCACAACAGAGAGCATCAGTCCATGATATTCCATTGTTTCCAGTGTTGGAGAGTACCGTAAAGTGTTGCCATGGAGACATAACAAGTTGCCAAACTCAAACCCTGAGAGTAATGGCTTTAATGCATCAGACACTCAATTATGACAGACATAAAAAAAATCCTTGCCCATATCACTCATATCGTAACACCAGTGGGGGGTTTCCAATGTTAACTGATATCACTGGTTACTATACAGAGATGTTTTACAGCTTAAACACTGCAGGCAGGGGAATATAATACAAAAATATGGTGGAAAGAGCATGAAAAGGCAAAATATGTTGGAATGATTCAACGTGCTAGTGAGTGGTCCTGATTGCTTTAGCAGAGTATGTGTGCCTGTGTGTGTGTGTGTGTGTGTGTCTGTGTGTGCGTGAGATCTTCCATTGGTTTATGGGTCATATGTGTCCACAGAGAACAATGGCTGTTCTGGAAGTGTAATTTTTCTGATATTCTACATTATTCACATAATAAAGTTTCTGGAAAATAAACTACATTTACAGTGTACACACATCAGCAGGTGAACAAGTAAGGTTCGTGGGCAAGCATGTATGCACGCAGACACTCACTCACAAATAAAATTACAAAAGACATAAAATTACAAGCCCAATGTAGCTAATTTGCAGGATCTCAGGACACATTCCCTCATGGCACTGCAAAAGCCTTCAAACAAATGTTTTTTTTTCCAGCTGTAAGCACAGTACACCACAAGATTATCATCAGCTGGAGATTTTAAAAAAAAAGGGATGTGAAAAGCAACCATTCTTTTCTAGGATTCCCTGTAGATCTCCTGACTCATCTCTTCCAGACAAAAAAAATTACGGGGCATTTTCAATTCCCCATGGTCTGTTGATACATTAAACACAAAGTTATGTGGCAAATGGAAAAGTCTCAAAGGTCTTGATTACATAAGCCAATTACAGGACTGATAAGAGGAGCAGTGGTCACAGGCATATTGTCACTTGAAAGACTACTACTGTACGAGAGTATTCACTTAGCAAACTACAGCTTCAAAAGTCATCATTAATTTTTATCAACACCTCTGGCAGTTTCAATGAACACAAAATAATCTGAGCTTCACCAAAAAGGTATTTAAAAGACTAGTTTAACAATTTTGGGAAATACAGAGAGTGCTGAGAGCCAGACAAGAAAATTGATACAACTCTCAAGTCTACAGTGAACACGAACCTGGATAGCAGCTGGTTAGCTTAACTTAGCAAACAGACAGGGACAAACAGCCTGGCTCAGTCTCGAGGTAACTAAATTGACTCATGAACACCTCTAAAGCTCACTGATTGAAGTGAAAATTGAAGTGTGAAAATGAAGTGAAGTTTTTTTACAAGGGGTTATGTGATGAACTATTTCTTGGAAGTTACTGCTTCAAGCCATGAAATAATGAACATAACCCCCACTGAAATGATAAAATTGTATTTTTTAAATTTCGGTATAAAAGTTATGAGCTATATTTCCTCCATGTTTCCTATCTTTATACTAAGCTAAGCTAACCTGCTGCTGGCCTCAACTGCACACATATCATTCAGATTTCAAAGTGTTATCAGTCCTCTCCATCAAACCTCTCAGCAAGAAAGCATATTTCCCAAAATGTGACAAGACAAGCACTTTTTTAAGAGACACAGAGATGGTGACTATAAGGTGTGCAGTAGGCCAAATTGTGTCCTTTGGGGTATGCTCAACTCTGGGAAAAGAAATGGGACCACAAGAGAATTTTGTAACTTTCATGTATCACTGACTTTTTAATAGCTTTCACCAGCCCTTATACAACAAAAACAACGCTAAGTGGCTTTTAAGGGGATTTTGCCTCTCCTGCCATGAAAGCTGTCAATCCATTTTAGGCACGACAAAAAGCTCAGATAAAGTATCTGACTATACATACAGTGTTGGCACAGACCTCTCTGTCATAGCTGACTGAGGAGAGGCAGATTTAGAGTGGGTGTGACGTAGAACTCTGTTGGCTGACACAGCGCTCCCCTCCATAGCAGATTAATGTAGAGCCATTTAGGAGAGTCAGTTGACTCAGTGAGACACATTTAGCCAAAAACATTCATGTATGATAACATTCTGTTGATTGCAATTAGGAAAACGTACAGCACTTCAGCATTTTTATCATTCGATGATTATACAGGAGGACGACCCTTGGTTGGTTCAGTGGTGCAGAGATCCCCTCCACATGGCCTCAGGGGGTGATGGGAGTTTAATATAAAGCTGACAGGCCTAACAAGGGTGAGGTCACTCCAGCTCTAATAACTCAGCGAGGAAATACACTGTCTGTCTCCACCACTCTGAGAGGGGAGACCTGACAGTTCAGTTAACACACTGGTAAATTTAGTGGAGGGCACTGGCTCTGGGCTATCTGGTTTCAAGTACACACATACACACACACATGCACAGACACATAGAAGCACAGCCAGACACATGGACGCTATGTCCGTGATGCTTGTTTTTCACTTGGGTGAGCAGGCTGCATGCATGAAAATATAGTTATTGCATGAACACACACACACAACTTTCTCCCTGACACACGTTCACTCACATGTACCTCGACACACAATGACGTATGCACCACATATCACTTAACTTACTTGCTATGTTTTGTATATTTATATATTTCAGCCTCTCGCAGGCATACATTCTGTAGGTCGGTTTGTCTTTGCTTTTGTAAAATAAAGCAAGTCCTTTAATCGTTATAACATAAGTGCAGTTTTTCACTTGGCACTCTTTGGATCTGAGTAGAATTTGAAACTGATGTATCTGCTGTTGACATGTTTTTTCTGCAACACATGTTCATCTATCAGTAACACATGTTGAATGATACAAACACAATGCATTTTTAAACTGGCTATTGCCAGGGGGACTTTGTTTGAATAATTCTCTTTTATAAACTGATATAGTGCTTTATGTTTTTGCTGCATGAGCACTTAACAAAAGTTGGAATGAGGATTTACTCATTACTCATCAACATGCCATATGGATATGATATAGTTTATGTTTTGAAAACTTAATAAGACTCTTCAAGCAGTGTTACCATAAATGTCATTATCAACAATAAGTGCTTCTTAAATCAATTCCCTTAGCATTGTTTCACTACAATAAAGGCATAGCAGTAATGCTAAAATATGGCTGCTTACTTGAGGAAGCGGCTGAGGTATTGGCGGCTGCAGGCAGACCAGGAGAAGATGCCATTGTGACCGGCTAATGTGGGAGACATGATGTTGCCCTCTGACTTCTTACAAACGTTACCCTCACCATCATGGACCATTCCAAAACTGGGGGATTAAAAAGAGAGTAAAAGATTTACCAATACAATACATACAAGTTATGGTGACAGTGCTCCATATTAATGGCACAGCGCAATATTATTTGATTAAACAGTAGAAGACAGACTGTACCAGAAGAATGTGTTTGGAGAAAGGGTGAACAAGAATAAACCGCAACATTGCATTACTGTGGCTACCTGAAGGATTAAAACTTTGTCATTAGCCTGCAAATTTTTGCACATATAGATCTTCTGTTGTCCACTTTTAAACCATATGCTGATACATGTTATATATTAAATGTACATAAGAAGTAGGCAGAAACACATTTTTAGAAATCTTTTTGAAAATATGCTGACATGATGCACAAATAAATAGAGGGATGGAAACCCTTACTTGTGTCCGGATTCATGAGCGATGGTGAATGCCAGACCAAGTCCTGTGTCTTCATTAATGGTACAACTCCGGTACTTGCTGCACATCCCACTAATTGGAGCAAAACCTGCAAATTTGGTGATACAATTTTACAAAGTGGACATCACGGTTCAATTATTTGATCGGTCAGATCCAACATAACCTGTAATTTGTTGATTCCAATGACCACTGTCAATCTGTGTTTACTCCTACTTAACAAATATTCAACTTTTAAACGTGTAGTGCATTGTCAGTAAAAAACTAAGAGGATTCTCTAAGAGAGACACATTCTAGTCTGAGCTTGTTGTGGACTGTATTCAGAAGAAATATCAAACACACCATTACTGGGTTCAAATCCCTCCATATGTTAAAATATGGGACTCTGTGGGAACATTCCCTGATCCCCTTGCTACCTTTCACTTCACTTTAAAAACATTCTTTCTCTGTCTTCACTTCTTTCTCATATCACTCCTTCTATATTAAACTCCCTTTTACTATTCAGCTCCCTTTTTGCCTCTCTCTGTCCACTCTCCTTCTGTCTCTCCTCACAAAGACACTCACACACAGCACCCCTGGCTCTGAATCAAAACGGATAATACTCACGGGGGCCTCCCTTAATGTTTTTGTCTCACTGCCTCAGGGAAAATTTAGCCTTGTGTTTTGTTATTTTACGGCTCTAAGTCATTCGCTATAGAGTGCAAAGCTCCTAAAGTAATGTTCTCATGTACATAGCTAATGTGAATAATGATAGTAAACATAAGCAGGCAGACTGACTGTGAGAACTGCCATTTAGTTCCATTTTTGTGCCAGGAAAGAGGTAGATCATTGATTTTATATACTGGTTTTGAAATATGGAGGAAAACATTGAGGGACAGGGCTGTAACAGTTATGCACATAAACTGTGTTATATACAGACTGATAGTACTAATAGCCAATTTGCCTCGCACCTTTGGGAGTTAGTCAGAGCTAACTCTTTTTTGACTGCACGCACGCACACGCACACACAAACACACAGACACACACACCTTTGAACTGGGCTTTCATAGCAATGACTAGGGTAATGTTAGTCTCAATGCTTTGAAGTCAAAACTTAAGTCTGGGGTTTGAAGGAAGTGCGTGTATACGTGCATTTGTGTGTGTGTGTGTGTGTGTCTGTGTGTGTGTGTGTGTTTCTGGGACACAAAATGGAAGTTTTTTCTCACAGTGTGGAAGACAACAATGTGTTGGCATGGTCATTACCACAAACAAGCTGTTGTTAGTTTGTTAGATGGTGTACACTCACAGTCACTGCGTGTGTGTGTGTGTGTGTGTGTGTGTGTGTGTGTGTGTGTGTGTGTATGTGCATGTATGTATGTATGTGTTTAAAGTAGTAGTATAACTCTGTTCTGCCATGTAAATGACTTTATTATTCATGTTCTTCTGGTGTTGCATTTGCAATAAGCTGCATTATTTTCTACAGATTTGCATCTTATGAATAAACTACTGCATGTTCTTTTGAAGTTCAATAAGACGAGATCCAGCTGAATCAATCAAATTGTCCTTCTGATCATATATCTCCTGCTCATAACTGATGATATTTGTTTTTATCTGCTGTTACACTCTATATTATTCTATATTACTACATACATATGTGATCCTGTGGGGCAGAAAAGATCTGAAAGCTGCTGATCTTTTTAACATCTGGTTTGGCTGGTGTGATCCTGAGTCACACCGTGTGACAGACAACAGGGGCATCTTCCCAGAGAGAGACAGACGGCAAGAGAGAATGACATATTTCTATGAGAGGCAACATACAAAGAATAAGGACGGTTGGCATACATGAGACTTTGTCAAAATTAGTGACTTTCATGAAAAACACTAAATGCATTTTCTGCGAGTCCTTTGTATTTTCTCAAATTACACTTTCATGCATTTTGTTACTGCAGAATCTACTCCTCAATGTTTTTTGAGCAGTACAGCGATAAACATTGGAGCAAAGTCGTACCAAGAGTGTCACAGGGTTCATTCTTCCAAGAGCAGATGTCGAGTCCTGTGAGCAGGATGGCGTGGTCATGGTGGCGTCCCTCTCTGCCTCCCAGAGTAGACTGCCAGTGGCAGAAGCTGTTCAGTGTGTGGTCTGCATGGTGGTTGATCACCAAGCCATCCTTGTGAGATAAATCAGATAAAAAGAGGTAGAGGGAGACACAATGTTGTTTTTGTGGAAAGAAGCTGCGAGTGTTGTGGATTTCAATTAATGAAATGTACGTCAAATTAAGGAAGTCTGTAGGCTACATGCTTAATTGGTTATGAAATTTAGCATGGAACCACCGCTACAAACGTTAAACATTACATGTCATATTATGTTCTGTTTTACCTGAGCAACGTAGCATTGGGTTTAATGTGATGCTAACAAAGATGCTAGCAAAATAAAAAGTGCCGTTAGCAAGTATTTAGCCGGTGTTTGACTAACATACAGTTTGGCTCCCATTCATTGTATAGACCCCGGCTTCCCATTTATTATTATCCACCTCTCTGCAATGAACCAACACACATGAAACATTTGCTTCAAGTCAAAGTTGAATCATAAACCTTAAACCTTTAGCTACAGGCAAAACAAGCTAGCAAGCACGTAAACTTCAGCAACTGAACCACATATGCTAACCCATTATTCAAAAAATTAATTAAATCAATTTGGGAAGAATACGTTAATCTCTTAACCTAATCAAAACCACCACAGTTAGCAGCCAACAGTGACGTACCTTTAAAGGATAATGTAACTTACATTTTTGAGCGTTCACTTCAGTTGTAAATCATCCAACCTGCACCATATGATGTGACCTCGGGGTGCGTTCATAGCATGGTCAAACAAAACGACAGAAGCTATTCAAAATACTGTCATCCATAAACTAGCCTACCATTTGAATGTCAACATGATACTGGCCATAACTTAAATTATTTTCCAGGACAACACAATATTTAACAGGACATTTGATAGGCATTATGATAATTGCCTCTCAAGGAAGACTGAACTTTATTAGCATCACAGGTGGATAGAAACCAGAATCCTTTGACCTTGAACTACATGACTCTGGACAGTACCCCATCTGTTTCTTCATCCCTCTCTCCCTCTCTCTTTCTCTTTTTCACATGCTGTCATCTCCTGCTCTGCACCAGAATTTCCCTCCTGAATCTGACAAACATCCAAGGAAATGTATACCTATAATTAACAACTGTAAAAGTTCTCAGTAGTTAGGACGACCCTGGAAAAGCTCTGAGACTTAAGAAATATGGACCTTGAGGCATAAAAACAAATAAACACACAGTGTCTTGCATTCCCTTCATGTCTGAAGCTCCATGTCACTGCTAACAAAGGCCAGGGTGCTTAAGGTAAGAACATTCTGTTATTGATGTTGTTGGAGTCTCTTTACATGAATAGATTAAAAATTTTCAAACCTTTGAACCACACAAAATGTTGCATCAAAAATCTGTTGCCATCAATCAGTGCTGTTGGAGAAGCTGGATTTTTGGACATGTGAATATTTTACCTACACTACTGACTGGCTTTGAGATGCTCACCTGCTCTTCATCCAGAAGCACAAGACCCACTATCACTATGTTGATGTTCCCCCCTATTGTACCATCTTTGAAGAGACTGGAGACCTAGAAGACACAAACAAACACATGTTATTACATGTTACTACATATGCATAAATGCTTTCATTTTCTGCAATCCATTCATCAAAGTCCTGTCACAATGGCACATTTCTGTTTACAGTTAAATATCTCTTCAAAGTGACTCTGACAAGTTAAAGACTTGTAATAGTTGGCGACAAGACAGGCTTGGCTATTTATTCCAACCCTGATTCCGTGTCATCCAGTCAAACCTCGTCAGCATAGAGATTTTCAGAGAGATTTGGATGGTGTGATGATGTCAGTAAAAAGTGTTATTCTGTCATCTGAAGTCTTCAAACACAGACCCACCTTTTAAAAAGAGCCTAAACTGTTAAAATGTTGCATACTGTGTCCCAAATTCTCTGTAGTATCTTTCACACATACAATCAGCTAACAAACTCATGTGAAGAACTTAGCACTAATTTAGTTTAATCATATTTTATGACATTATGAGATAAATGTGGTTGATATTTCACACTATATTAAGTATACTGTATGTGGGCGATATTAAGAGAAAGTCTGAATCAAGGAGACAACTGACCTTGTAATTCCTGCAGAAATAACATAAAAGCCTTTTTGATAGTATCACTGAGGTATGATATCCACAGCTGCTGTTTCCAGTTCAGCTTCTTGTACTCACACTGATATCTGACCATCAATCATAACAGTTTAGGCTTTGAAAGTGGTTTCCTGATCTTTTGCTCTTCCTCGCTCTCAGTCTTTCTCTTGAGCCTTGTGAATAACCCAGGTGCCACTCACTAAGCGTTTTCTTTTTTTTTTTCTTCCGGAACACTCTCATGCGTTCCTGATGTTCCTGATGTTCCTGATGTTTGGTCTTCCTCTGCTCTGACTCATGAGAAGACACACGGCTGTGATTTGTAACAGGATTCAAGCGAAGTTCTGAGGTCAAAAAGGCAATCAAAACCACTCACTTAAACTAAGATATCCTGGAACGCAGGTTTTTGACAGAGTTTCAGACTTACAGACTTTAACAGATACAGTGAATCACTGTGTTTTCACTCCCTCATAAAAGAAACAATCACACCAGTTTCCATAGAGCTTCAGTGTTTTGTGGTACATAATCTACAGTGTGTTTTTTTAAATTTGTAATTACAAAATGTTTTTGAAGTCTTTCCACTCTGCCACGTAAAAAACATAAATCTACACAACGCTGGAGCTGCATATCAGATTTAATTTTCAACACACATTTAATAAGCTTTTCTGAGACCCATGGGAGCTGGCAGGTGGGGTAGGGGGTTGGGTGTTTTCTGTGAAACTCCATACTGTATTTAGGTGACTCCTCTCAGGCAGGCTGTGACTACTCCAGCTTGGTTTCTACTAGAGGGAACCATGTTTTCAAAATAGATGGATTATCTTTGGATTTGTCAGTCAGTCACTAAGTAGCAAAACCAGCGTGACAGAATTTGCTTGCAGATCAGCTGAGAGGGACGGGGGGTCACTGTGAGTGTTGCGGCAATGATCTCACTCAGATATCAGTTTCATGTTTTTAGATGTGCTCCTTCTGATAAGTGAGAATGGAAGACAGCAATGTCCAGTCACTAAATCTAATCTGTGACAAAAAAAAAATAAAAACAAATGTGGATTCAGGCTGTGGTCTGGCAAGTGCCAAAACTTAATTTGATGAAAGGAAATATGCTAACATTTGCTGTACTGTTGCTAAATTCACTTGTCAAGATTTATATGTTAATTCTTACATAATGCTGAAAGACATGGTGTAGCTAGTAGACAAACACACCCTACATCTACATGCTAACATGCTCACAATGACAATGTTAATATTTAGAAGGCATCATTACATTGTTCACCATCTTAGCATAGCGCGTTAGCATGCTAACATTTTGATAATTAGTGCTAAACATAACGTACAATGGAGGCTTATTAAAGTATTGGAAAAAAATCATCACATCCCATTTTAACCTCTATTGTGTCTAACACTGTAGTTGTAATTAAGTTTCTCTCACCATATTAAGCACAGTGAGAACATATGTGGTTATGTTCTCATGTCCATGGTTGTCCATCATATTTCTGTCCACCACCACCAGCGTCTCCACGTTGAGAATCTGACTAGCCTTGTTCTTCATCAGCACTGCCCTTTTGTTCCTAGGGATGAACTTGTACTCATCCGGGAGGATAAAAACATCCTCTTCAGGAGGTTTGGGCATGTCTGGAAAAACAGATGGAGAGTGACAAAGGGAGTTAGAATGAATTAACTTATTAACTGCTTTGAAGCAAATGTATGCATTAACAATTGAACAAGCTGAATGTATGTAACACACTGTGGCTGCAGAGTCGGCATGATTAGGAACAAACTGTGGGATAGTGGATTGTAAGTGATTGATGAAAGAAAAAACAATAGTACATATAATAACAATTTAATAGCAGTTATAATGTTCATTACAAATATACAATCCTTCCGTCCCACAGCTGATTATACTGTATGTTGCACAAGATTCTAAATTAACCTGTATCCACGAGGCAAATGGCCGCCTTTGTTTGTGAGTGTTAACCAGCGATTCTGGCAAGTAGCTGACAGCCATTCTGGATGATTAACTAGACTCTTACTTTCATGACCTGATGTCATGGATAAACTGCAAACTGAGCTTTCTTTCTGTTGTTGACTCTGGCAGTCTCAGTGTTATGCTACCATTAAGTAAAGTGTGAAACCACAGAATGTGATGTACTGTGCATCAGCAGCACCTACAGCGAGTCAAATGTTCATGATATGCAACCATTATATGAAAGCTTTACATGCTAAAAGCAAATATATTTTGCTGTCAGTGTAGTCTTCAAAGAGATCTCGAAGCAATTTTATATTCTGTAGTCATAATACAATGTTAGATAATGATGGACAAAGGCCATTTATTGATTAATTACAACAAGTAAAAGCAATTCAAGAATTAAACTGTCACTGTTTTAATCCACTTTTCAAACTTTGTTAATAAAGGTAATTTTGAATGGTACCCAAAATAAGTTTTTTGGAATTTGTGGAATTTGTATTATACAAATGATGACGTAAATTGCAATGAATTCATAATACCAACTTATTATGAAGATTTATCAGCACTTATTTGTTACGTGAACATGCGACTCAGATAAACATAAAAATAAACTACATCTTATGTCCAGTTCTGCCCTGTTTTTAACTCTCCTTTTGAAGCTGGGCCAACTCTGGGAACAATCCAACTCAGTTCTACTCTATGACACAAGGTCAATAGTACACACCAGTCAAAGAAAAACACAGCCTAAAACCATTGTGGCTTTCAGCATTATCACCTAAAATCTCCACTTCTATGTTTTGAAGTTATCAAAACTATCACCTATCACTGCCTGGCTGAACTATAAAGGTTCGAAAGGTTGCTTATATAGGCGGAAAGCAGGTGAGCAACCAAAGTGCCTTTTCTTGACTAAAACACGGCACAGGTGTTCAGTGATGTCACTCTGTGGGAATGTAAACATCAGTGTGTTTTCACAGGGGACAGACAGCTGGGGTTCTGCAGGGTAATGGTGGTGGTACCAGTCCAATCCCTGCCTGCTGGCTTTCATTTGACCCCTGTGACACCAGCAATGTTAACTGATCTTGTGGTAATTTCTTGAGCGCAAACATTTGTGATAATAAAACATTTCCCATAACCTTTCACAGGTTAAGTCACTAATGAATTCAACCAAACACGTCGATGTAGTGATAATATTGTTCAGAGGTAACATGTGCCATCATGTGAAATACAAATCAAAACCTCCTCTAGTTGCAAAATATTAGTGACATTTTGACTGACGAGTCAAATCGGCAATAATGAAATCATCTCTCTCTAATTTAAGAAAGATGCTTAACAGACTTTAGTCTGCCTTTTTGTGAGTGACAACACATGTTGCTTTTCTCTTAAACACACAAAAGAGCTAATGATGTGTTAACTGCCATACATATTAACACAGACTCTGCTTCTTTCAGTGTGGTGTTGCACTGTAAAATGAGGCATCGCTCTTGTCCTAACTACACAACTGCAGTCTGTGTTGTGGATGTGTTCTGCACTCATATGATGAAATTAGCATTCACAGCAGTTAAAATGAACATGGGAACATATTCTGTTGGAGTCACATCTTCCTGTTCCCATTATTCTAACCAACCACAACCCTGTGAGGCTGACTGCTAACATAGTTAATCGAAAATGTCAACAATTAGATTTATTATCGTATGTCAGTCTTTTTCTTTTCTTTGTGAAACTGTAAGTGGTGTGACAATTCCTCAAACTGTGTCTTAACCCCTCAGTTCAAACCACTAATTTAGTTATATCTTGACATTTAACATTTTGTATTATGACAGTGCCTAAAATGTGTAATGTGAGAAGTATGACTAGGTGGGAACATTCTTCTTTAAGTGTCAGAAAACTAATGAAATTTGTGTGAAGAAATTAAAAGAATATTTCATGCATCTCGACATGAAGAGTTGGTGTATGAGTGTGCACTCTGTACTAATGCTGCATGTTACATGTGGACCAGAATGAGAAATTGCCCTTACATACATTTCTTCCGTCTCCCACAGAAGTGTTGCCTCTGCTTTTCCCCATGTCTGTAGTCGTTGTCATGGCGATGGCTGTTGTGGTGATGGCCACTGCCATGATGCTCCGTCTGGTCGCCATGACTGTGGTTGTTATTGTGATAATCATGGATGTGCCTTTGCTGTTTTTGCTGGCCCCTGCCGTGATCTTCATTAACTGTCTTGTAGGAGGGGTCTGTCTGTGAATTTGTGGATCTCTTGGTGACAAAATGTCGATGTGATTTGTGAGGAGTTGAATCTGTGGATCGCTTTTGATGCACCCGTGGCTGATGACCTCTTTGCTCTGTCTGGGAGTACCTCTCACTCTTGTAGAGGATGTGTGGCTGGTGACTGGAGGGTGCTGTGAAGTTCTCTCTCTGGGCGAGGCTGAGGGACACAGGTCTCAGGAAGTAGTCCGCATCCTGCGTTCTGATCAAACCTGACTAGAGTCAAAACAGACAGTCCCATTAGTTTTACAACAGTGGCTCTTAAACCTATTTAGCTTGGGCAGATCTGTTCTGTTAATTTGCATGCACTCAAGCCATATGAGACCCAAAATAAACATACATTAATTTTAGGTGAACATTATACTGTATTTTACAAAATGTATATTGTTTGACTTTATTTTTACATCTACTTGCTGAGCCTTTATTCAAGTAGCCACATGTGTCAAAAACTGTGAAAAGTGACCTGTAGAGTATATATTGTTGATGTCCAACACCTCAACAGCTGACACAGTCTCTTCCACTGAAAGTAGCCTAAAGGGCTACAGTCATATATCATGAGAGAACAAAACAATAACCATCTCCAGCTATTCGTTTAGCTACCCAATCTGTCTCTGTCAGCAATTAGTCAAGATTTGACTCATGGGTCACTGTGAACCTGACCCCCCTAAACCACCGTGAGGCTCAATTACTGGCCATGTTTCTTCATGTTCAACATCTGCTTTGCAGTTCAGGGTCAGACGTCATCTCAGCAAAATCTAAATAAGGCTCGGTCAGCTAGAAAGAGTTTCAAACAAAAGGGCTGGTGTGAGGATGAAAGGAGGTGGCATCTCTCTCATAAACAATGTATATGCTTGAGGCTCTCGAGGTTTAGACATTCCTCACTTTAATAGCATGTATTAGAAATCTAGCAAACAAAAATTGCTATTAGCCTAATGTGTTATCTGAGCATAATATACAACAAACTCTTTCTAAAAAAAAATTTCTTAGATGTAATGAATATTTCTCCCACTTTGAAACTGCTGTTATTCAGGGCCATATTTAAGGGCCCACTTTAAAGGGGCTATTTGTATGTTTTCTCTGCAGCTCTGGTTACTGGCCAGGAGTGGGTGGTGGTGATTGTGGCTTGACAAGAGCTTCAGCCATCTTTGTCTTTATAATACAAGAGGTTATCGGAGCAACGCTACATCTTGAGGACAGATTGGTAATGAGAGGTAATGAGGCTGATAGAGGCCAGGGCTTGCTGGTTAGCATGCTAACTTAAGACGTGAGAGAGACGAGTTAACATTGGCGTTTCTTTCCACCACAGGAGACACTTCTTGGTGAGTAAAGGAATGAAGTTTGATGCTGAACTTGCAACGTTTCCTCTACATTTGTAGGTAAACAGCTGTTAATGCAAATGTTGGCTGTGGTGCAGTTGCAAACTTACAAATAGCTCCCTTTAAGTACCAATGCCTTATGCTTTCAATTTCAGGGGATAAGTTGTGGGAAAGCCCATTATAAATCTGTAAAGATTCAGCAAAAGATTTCTAAAGTTGACCTTTTTCTCTCTCTCTATCTCAGTCTCAGTCTCTTTGGGAGAGACACACAGACATTTTCAACTTTCATATTCCATTTTCAATAAACTTCTATCAACACAGCCGACTCAGACACTTGGAGATTATTTTCTCTTGCTCTCTGCCTCTTTCTTTGTCTCTCCTAGTCTCTCCAAACACGCACCACATCTGTGTTGACAGTCAACTGGCACGTAGTGCTTGGACTGTAACTGCGCTTGGCAGTAATAGCAGTTTCCCTAAAATACGTTTAATTGACTACAGTCTCCTTTTGTTTTTTCACTGTGAGTTGTGAGTGGAGTGTGAGGTCCTTCATCACCGCAGCCTTTTCTCCTGGCTGACAGAAACAGCCTGACACAGTGGCAGTGGTGAGACTGTGGCTGTTCTTGGATGTTGGAAAGACAGAGATTAAACATGCGCAACTAAATGTCTTTATGTGTGCATGTGTAGAGATTTGTGTCTATTTATCTGTTCATTAAACTGGGAGTGTCTCTAGTTGCAAGTTTGCAGAAGCAGACCTCTACTTTTTGATGTTGCTTTAATGATTTTCAGCACCGATTTCCTCCATTTCATCATCACTTACTAACCCAGGCCTCTACCTCCGCCAGCCTGTTAACCACAGATCAGGAAACTAGAGGAAGAGAGTCCTTGGAAAATACTGTGACTGAATTTGAAAACTGTGAACTCAGTATGGATGCATACAGGCCAATACAGATGTGTCAGACCACAATGACTGTACAGTTTACAGCTTTCATCACGTACTGTGGCAAAGAAAGCTATCATGCATTTATGTTGTGTTTGTGCATTATTAGTTCCACAGCAGCTAAACTGGCGTAGACTCTTGAAGATTGTAATAATATTATTCCTGACACTTTGCAGCAAAAAGAGAACAAAGAGATTTAAAATCCTTGCATGTGTCTGTGTGACTCCTGACGTGTTGAGATGTCACAGCAGTTCATGGTCAAATGTCGGGTATGCTCGTTCAAATCCCACTGTAAAGTTTTATGCCCTTACCACAAGCCACTGTAGAGCAGTTGCTGTTTACAGGTGGTTCTGTGGCAGATAATGATCATTTCCCACCGTATGGTAACTAGTGTTTGACAGACAAAAGATAATCACAAACAGCGAAGCAGAAATATATTTGGAGACATATTTACAGCCGGAAACACACTTTTTGGGCCAGTACTTATTGAGATGATTACAATCTTTTAAGCCCTTTAAAAATGCACACTCCCACAAAAAAAACCAATGCATGCTTTATAATGAAGTCCTCAGACAGTGTGCACATTTTGCTACATCAGCAACTTACCAGCACTGTCATTTCTATGCTCTGTGTTAAAATCCCCCAAAAAACCACAAACGTGGTTGTTCTGAGAATCCCAGACAAATGCTGTATCTAATTCTGACTGTGGACGATTGACCTTGATGCAACACAGCAGTTTGCTTTGGGGAATGAGTGGGTGGGGAATCAATTATTGAGAAAAAGAGAGAGAGAGAAAAGAGAGAGATGCTTGCTAATGCATTACCACCTTCCACTGTGGCCTGCCTGCCAGCGGTCAAGAAATAGCTCTTGCCAGGAACCCTAGCCAGAATCGTTGGTTGCAATCACATGTGACAACTGGTGCGTGATCCTGTCATCTGCATGGCACCCGCCCCAGCACTGTGTAATCACAGACGATTGTCATAATTTGGTTCCAAGTCACGGTGAGGCCTCTGACCTGAACTGCGCTGCTGTCAACCTTCAAAACTTCACGTTAAGAACTTACTCTGTCTGGGTGGGTGGTTTGGGGGTGGGGTCGGGAGCAGGGTGGGGGGGGGGGGGCTGATTACTGGGGCATTAGTGTAGAGCTATAGCAAAGCAGCCCTCCAGGGAAATTGGGTGTCATATGATGCTGATTTGGTATATTGATCCTAATAGTATATAATATAAAAGGAATAAAAGAAAACTTTCTTTTTTTGTTGTTTTTTTCATGAGGGGTTATTTTTGGTCAGCTCCTAGCTATGGCAGTAGAAGGAGATGGGACAGATAAAGAAGAGAAAATCCATGATGGAAAGAGACAATCATAGGAATTACACCTGTGGCTTGTGAACTTAACTGTTTAGTGAGGAGTTGTTATAGAAACTGTCTTGTTCTGATATATATTAAACTGTGGTCTGGAGTTGACAGGGTAATCTGGCTGACATTTAGTCTTAAAAGGATTTTCAACTGCCAACTCATGTAGTTACAAATTTCCAGACATGGCTTTGCTTTAACATCTTTTACCTGCATATGACAACACTGCACTATTCACACTATTCAAAGCAGCATGCAGATATGTATGCATCTATACACCAAAAAAAATAAAAAATCACAGTAGAATCATGCAGATGTATTTAAAAAATGGCGCAACCCAAGCCAAAGTCTTTTTAACGATTCCACTTGAGGCGTGTCAACAAGCATAAACAGCTATGATTGCATTTCATGGTGACAGTGTTCACTCTCTGACTGCCACTTCTGTCTCATCCCTGTCACCACCACATGCATGTTATGTTCTATGGTTTCTATGTACAGGCTGGTCTGTCTTTTCAGCATTGGTGCTGAGATTTTGGGATTTATGTTGTCATCACATTGGTGCAAATCTGATATATTGGTTCTATTATAATGTATGTCAAAATGTACTGTGTGACATGTGACACAATTATTCCCAAACAAGGGTCTGGAGATCTCCAGGGGTCCTTGATGAGGTTTCATTACCAGTGTCCCTGAGCAAAATAAGTGATTTATGAAGTTGACTATTTAAGCTTATTTTCTATTGCATATTGCCAACTCTCTTTAGGCATGTACTGTATGTAATGAAATCTGAGTACATTGTGATGATTGATTCCATTTTCCCTGCAGTATGACAACTGTCTATAGAACTTCAAATTTGTTTCTAACAACACTTATCTTCTCAAATTTAGTTTCTTTATTGAAGGTGTTAAAGTGAGTCTTTTCATGATTTCATCTGTAGCTTTTTGTGAGGTCTTCACATGAAAATCTTTTTAAAACCCCTTTCGTTGCAAAGGTGAGTTAGAGATGAGCTACTGGTATGGCTTGTGTTTGCAGCGCCATCATAACAAGAACCACATGTCTGCTTCTCCTCAAGATAAATCAATGCCTCTTATTGTGTAATGAACTCTATCTTTATGTTTTTTGTGAATAAGACATTCAGTCAGATGTTGATGTTGTAATATTTAACTTGTGTTGGTAGATTCTGTAGTCTTAAGACAAATTTTGTATGTAGTGTGTATAACAAGCTTTTATTTGTAGACAGAAACTAGACAAGAAATTGTAAAGAAAACCATGTGTAAAAGCAGTGTACTGTATGTACAATGAATTCAAAATGTTTCTGCCTTAAACAAAGCAACATGCATCCTCTTTGTCTTCCTTAGCATACCAGCGAGCAAATCCCACAGATAATCTTTCTATAATGTCTTCAGTCTGAAAACTCTGCACAGCCTCACACAAAACAACATGTGTATGTATGCAAAGCCACTATGTTCGGAGATTAGGTCACACTAGTGCCTTTCCTAAATAGCCAAAGTCATCAGATTACACACTGTGCACTACGAGGTGCAAATAGCAGTCATAAAATGCTGAAACACTACTTGGGAGGGCGCAAACAGCTGGACTCTCTGTAGTCAGAC